TTTATTACATTTATTATTAATAAAATTATCAATATTTGAAGAATTATATTTATAAAAATTAAAATAAACTATTATTATCCAAATTAAAATATATAATATCATAATTGAATTTAAATGCGCCGTAAAATTGAATTTAGATTATTTATATGAAAATAAATAATGAAAATGAGAATCAATATTTAATTTGAAAAATGATTTCTAATAATCCACTATAATTATTTAATTTTAAAAGATGTGATAATTTGATTACAATATTTAATATTAACCAATATATTTGAATTTAAAGTTTATATTGTTGTATAATTTTATTCTTGAATTAAGTTATTTATTCAATCTTTTAAAAATAAAAATTTTAGGTATATTTTTATTTATGTTTTAGGATTTTGATAACTTCATAATTAATATTTTTTTATGAAACTAAATCATCATATTTCTACCGTTTAAGATTCTCAAAATTAGAAAAAGTTATATTTAATGGAATTTTTAAGTTTCATTAGAAATAAATCAAATGCAATTTTTACAAATTTTCGGGTAAAATATTAGACCTTTTGTAAAGGAATCAACATATTATAAAATACCATAAAAAATTCATATATAACTAATAATAACATTATATATATATATATATATATATATATATATATATATATAGTATTAAAATAATTGTTTTTTTAATTTCAGAGTTTTTGAAGGCAAAATGCTTAATGGAATACAAACTTTCATCGATTCTTTGTTAGTCATTGCTTTTTATTTGAGTTTTGTGAAATGCAGAAACTGGTTGAAATTGGGAAATTTAATTAAAATGGATTAAATCATGATGGAATGCTGAAGCTGTATATATATTCTTTATATTTTTGGTTTCTATCTTCTTCATCTTTTACTTTCCTTTTCAACTAAATTATAATCCACTTTATAAATCAAACTAGAACATGAATCCATAAAATGATCATGTATACTTTTTTATTTATTAAAAAGTTAAATTATAATAAATTAATTAGAAGTCAATTTAAACAACTATTAAATAATAATTTTTTTTCAGTTATTTAATTCCAACTATTGCCAATTTCAAAAAATGGTAACAGAATTAAAAATAAAAATTGTGAAAAGTGCCTAATTTCATCCATTGGAAAACTGTCCAAAGATAAAATAACTAAAATTCTTAGTTTGGTTTATAAAAAAAGTAGTTATTTAATATTAATAATTATTTGGATTTTATTATTAAGCAGTACAGTATAATAACAATTTAAGGTTTTTTTTTCTAAAAAAAAACTAGTTTTATTTTTTACAAGACTTATAAATTATTATGTTTTTTCTTCCACTTGAAATTAATTGATCTTTAAATTCAATAAATTAAATAATATACTATTTTTTTGTTACAGTGATTGGATGCATAAAAAAGTTATTTATTTAATAATTCTCAACATTAGCCCCAAATCTTAAGAATTTTTTACTTATAGTGAGCAGAACATTCCGGATTATATAACAAAATCATTTTTTTACTTTGAAATGATATCATAGAAATAGGAGGATGAATTATTATTTTTATTTTAAATTAATAAAATGATTTTCTCATTCCCATATATTTATATTATCTCATTTTAGTATATTTTTCTCGTAATATTTATAAGATCTTTTTATTTATTTTTGTCCATACCTCGTAAACTTGAAATTCATTATTTATACCTCAACAATACACTTTGAATACGCATCTATTCAATTTACGATGCTCAATTTCAAATAAGAATATCGTCCAATCTTTACAATATAATTTTTTGCTTGATTTTTATTTTTTATATTTGACATGTTTGGCCACATGGGTGGTGGTTGAATTGAAATTATTCATGGCTTACAGTTAACATATGTCCATCACAAATTTTTTTCATTAATATTATTATTATTATTATTAATGACGACATATGTATATAAACTAGAAAATATAGTCATATTTTTTATTTTGTTAAAATTATTATTAAATATCTAATTTTTTTAATTTTATATATTTGAATCCACTGGTAGTTGCTTGCTCAATGACATATTGTGCGAGTTTGACTTCAAAATTATGTTATCCTTAAATTCATTACTGTTAGCTTCGTATATAATAACATCCTTGAAAGTTTTATGCATTTTCATAATGATAGGCATGACCTTCAAAATATTATAAGAATCATAATTAGTCCTAAACTTAGTGGGAATAGTATATTTACCTACAAATATTTATGGAAATATATGTGGGTATGAGTATTTTATTATTAAACTTATCTCATAACAAAACTTTGGTTAATGTTATCAAATTTAAAAGAAAATATTAATATAATACTTATAGCCATACTGTAGCACACCTAATAAATGATATCTTAATATTACTTTAAAATTTGTAATCGCATTTAATATTATTTTCATCTTTGTGATCGATTATCAGGCACTGTTATTTTTAAAGTTTGTTGGTTGAGAACTTTACCGGTCAACCGTTGCTTTATCTTTATGTATGACATAAAATAACATTTTTATACAACTAATGAGCCTAAATATAAGTATATAGTTGCTCATCCAAAGTGGAAATAAAAATACTATTTTTTTTTTTTATGTTGTGTGAATTAAGTATAATTCTACTGTGTTAACTTTTCATATATATATCTTTTGTAAAATTTTACAAAACTTATAAAAAATTCCATAAAATATAAATATTATAGTGTGTTAATTTTAGGATAAGATACAGAAAATATTGATAGTGCTAAAAGAAGAAGTGGAGAATGATAAAGCCAAGTTTTGTGAACCTACCAAGAATAATGATAGTGGATAGGGGGTGATTCAAACAAGGTAAGGGGGGAAAAAAGAGAGGTTAATTTAATTTTAAATCAAAGAGAGAACTGAACATGCAAGTCTGGCGAATCAACCAAAGAAAAAGATAGCAGATATAGTGAAACAACCAAGAAAAAATAATATATTGAAAGGGATGCAAAATGATGTTGTCATTATTAATTAAGTTAATGCACAAAGAGCCTTTTCTTATGAGAATCCAAATCAAAGTTGTGTTTTGTGAAAATGGGGACAACACAACCCAAGTGATTCAACTCATGAAAACTTACCAACAAACGACAAATATTCTCCTCTCATACAAATGATGTTATAAATTGGTTCTAATCAACCAAAATTTCACTTTTCTACTTGATAACCAACATTTAACTACATAATTAACTGTATCAATTTTTCCCTGCACATACTATATATCCTCATTTTGGGGGGGGGGGGGAATAAGAACTTGATTCATTCTTATTTTCATAAACATAATTAAGAAAAAATGTGTATATATATATATATATATATATATATATATGAGAGAGAGAGAGAGAGAGAGAGAGAGAGAGAGATTTAGTGTTCATATAAATACATTATGTATTTTTGCTTATGAAACATAATTTCAAGTCATGAAATTATGTATATGAAGTATTTAAGAAAAGTTAGCCACTTATATAATATTTTGTCAACGAGTTACACACGTGGTTGACCAAAAAAAAGTGTTTATTCTCATCTCTTTGCCTATATTTCCTTGTTATTTCCTTTGTGTTAGTTAATAATGATTTGGAAATTTTATATTTACTATAAAAGTGTGTGTTCAAGAGAGAGAAGAGTGTTGACATGTATGTGGATAACAGCAACATGATTATTAAGCTAACCTGTAGAAAGATTTCCTTGTTGCTTTGGGAGAGTATGTCTTAAAGAAGAACTATAGCAGGAAGAAAAACAAGACAGAAAATTGAATCGATACAACATGTCAAAGCAAGATGTTATGCTGTTAGCAGATTCAGTAGATAAAAAATGTCTTTGGTTAGGTATGACGAGTGTGAAATTAGGTTAAATCCTATCTTCGGGAATCTGTTTCACGTAAAAAACGAATTGAATTAGTCACTAATCCAGCAATCAAAGTTGGTTCATCCACTACTGTAGGACAAGCCGCAAAATATTCCTAGTTTCGTAAAGTATTTGCTTGCACAGGTTGTGTCGCTTTTGAACCATTGGATAATAGTCAATATAATATAGACGAATCTATTTAGCTTCTAACAAGGTTTGTTTAAACATTATATAATGTCAAACCAAACACTTTTGTTAACGCCCTAGAATATTTTATGACACAGTTAGAGATCTATCACACACTTTCCTTTCCTCACACTCTTGGTTTGTTTTTCTTTAATATGCTTTCCTTTCCCAACTCCAACCTAAAATAGATATAGTTTAGAAGGGATCATCAAGGTTAGAAGCTTTAAGTTTGATTAATAAAATTGTATGTTAGAAAGACACTAATTAAGCTTATAACAAGAGTTCTAAAAACCGGCCTAATGAATGAAATAATGGAAACAGAAATCAAGAAATATAATTAGTTTTTCCCCACTTGTGTGTGGTGGATTACTTAATATGTGAGAGAGAGATGTTCAACTTCACTCGGTCAAAAGCAATAATGTTAGGATTCCCTTAATTAATTATTCTCTACAATACCAACAAAAAACAAGATAAATGATCTACTTGTCTTGGTTATTTGATGAGCCAATTGGTTATCCATACAAAACTTCAAGACTGTGTCTTTGTTATAATGTTTTCACATGATGTTAGGGTAAAACTATCCACTGTTATTTGTTACTCCCGAGATGCTAAATCATGGAAACAGTAATATGTTATATATGAAGAACAAAATACCATCACAGCCGAACTTTTCGTAACCCAAAATATATATATATTTGTGTTATTGATTTGAGCCTATGATTTATTCAACTCAAGGTTAATGCACAAAAGACTAGTCTAACAACTCCAACAACCAAGAGAAAACGTTTTACAGTTGTTCCTAGAAACTGAGTCCTTACAACATACCTAGACAAACAAAATGAGTCTTCAATAGATAAATCAGCACTTCTTCACAAACAATTCAAAGGAAAGAAGGAAATTTAGAGAGAAACAATATATATGAGATCAATTCAACTTCTCACCTTTGTACCCTCAATGAAGCTGGATCAGTAAGATTGCCTTCCACCAGAGTTCCCAGCCCAACCATCAACAGGTAACTGAGGCATGTTTAAGGGCAAATTGAAGAATGGAAGCCCTGAAGAGGGGTCAGGAAAAGAGTTATTACTGACTCCACCACCACTACCTCCGCCACCACCACCACCGCTACCACCTCCAGCAGATGATTGTCCTTGTTGCATCTGCATAGCTTCTTCTTCATCTAAAGGCAACCTCTCATATGCCACATTAGTAAAAGATGAAGCAATAACAATAACAGGCCCAGAAGCTATCAAAGGACCAACGACGTTTCCTCCCACAACCTGACCCTGCCCTCCACCAAGAAATACAGTCAAACTTGTGGCACCAGGTGGAGCAGGAGGTGGAAGAAATGATCCTGACAAAGACAGGATCTCGAACCTTCCATGCAGTGTGACGACGGCGCCGGCAGCGGCCGGCTGCCGCAACGTGACGTTGGTGACGGTGCCACTCCCACTGAGGACACAGATCCCTCTTTGTCGCTTCCTTGCATAGGTAGCGACGGAGTCAAAGACATCGCAACCACTACTAACTTCAAGGATGTGAGCCCTAAGCGTGTTTGCACTCTCTCGTGTGATGATAACTGGTGGTTTAGGCTTGTTCTTTGAACCTGGAGGTCTTCCTCTTGGCCTGCGAGCAACAATATCACCAGGACCTTGATTTGTTGTAACTAGGTCAAGACCTTCGTGATCGTTAACGTTGTTGTCTTGGTCTTGTTGGTTCTCATCGTCTTCAAGGTCAGGGCGTTGAAGGCGATGATGAACAAAATGTGATGCTGAACCCAAGTCTATGCCGGCCATACACACAAAGCTCTAAAGAAGTGTAAACAGAAAAACAAAAGGAAATAAAAAAATTGGAGCAATTAAAATAAGAGAAATTTAATTAGAATAGTAACATGAAGAATTAAATTATGCACAGGGAATTTTAAAAGAAGTATTAGGAGTGCCCAATGATTCAAACCTCAGAACGAATAGAAAAACAAAGGGATCAATTGAGTACTGCAGAGAAAACGGAATGGGATGAGGTTGGAAGGGAAAGAAAGAGAGAGACAAATAAAGTGGGCAACCTGCAGCCATTCTCACAACCAGAAAAGTAGACCAAACAATAAAATAATGATCATGGGATTAAACTATGTACTTATTTTATTCATTCATTTGAAAACCACATTTATAAAGTTTTAAAAATCATGGGGTGATGTTAAAATGTTGTGTCTATATCTTTGGAGGATGTGTGGAGTGGGTGAGAGAGAGAAGAGAGGTTGGATGGTTATTTAGGAAACCTAGGTTACCTTTCGACAATGAGAAAACCTCAAATATTTGAACCCTTACCTCATAAGCAATTCTTGCACATGTTCAACAATTACTTTACAAAAACTACTATACGGTGTTTGTTTTGGTCATCAATGAACACTTAGAGGCTTGTTGACCCATGGGCTACTCATAGTTCTTCATCAGTTTATAACACTCTTTTGACTTATTTCAAGAGCACCTCTTCCTATACATCTTTTTCTAGGGTTCAAATCTCCCCATTCATCCCTTGCCATTTCTTTTCACTCACCACCTGCCAAAGGTTAATTCATACAACTTCTCAAATTTACATTACTTGTGTCTACTTTGTCACTAATTTATTTTTTTTTACATGAATTTGGATTCAAAAAAGCTTTTGGTGTTTGTAATAGACACAAGACACGATCCATCCAATATCTATTCATAGTTTATTATTAGACTTGACCTACGTACAACCTCACTGCTCAAACAAAACCATATACATATACAGTAAAAGAGAGGGTTACGGATAAGAGGGAAAAAAAAAAACATTCGTAAAGTGCATTTTTGTTTATTGAGTGAACTTCAATTGTCACTTTCCATAAATAAAATTTAGATGTTCCTTTATAATGATATGTTTTTTTTTTTTTTTACCTAGTTAAAATTAGATGTTTCTTTTTAACCTTCATTGGATGTATATAATTTGATGAGACAAGTCAAAAGCCTCTACTTAGCTTAGATTTTATGTTTTTGGATATTGTGTTTCATATAAATAATCTAGATTAATTCTTAAGTATCAAGCTTCACAAGCATTATGTTTTGTTGATTTTAGGCATGTTAATTTCTTATTCTTCCATGGAAAAGTTATTAATCAATTAGAAAATCTGTTATTAATAACTATCAATGATTATTTATATATGTCACATATTTAATAAACTGTATAAATTACACTTTTCTCTGTTATAAGATGCTCATATATGCAATTACTTTATTCTATCGTTAATGAGAATTAAACCTTTTATTTAATTTTAAATCTTAAATTTACTATTGACTTTTAGGCATTAGGGTATAAAATGAAAATTTTGGGTGAATCAAAGCCTATTATGGGCATTAAATCTTCATTTTAATGGGACTCATTTAGAAATTTAGATGCAAGATGACTTAGAACTTTTAGATGTGAAGGAAAAAGAAAAATGCATAACAAAACGAGAAGAAGGAGAACCCTTTATAAGTGAGAAGAAGGAATAATTAGATTTTTAGGGTTAAATATCTCAGGTTATTATGAGTGTTGAGGAAGTGACTAAAATCACTTTTCTATTTTTTCTTCTCTTAAAATAAAGTGTTAATGGCCATTCTTTCTGGTTCCATTAAGTAGATAATCAAAGAACATAACAACGAGCTAACAACAAAATTAGATCCTTCTAAGTTGTTGATTAGAGTTGACAACGTATAATTCACATTTTCAATCTGCATCCATATCAAACTGGAGAATCCAAGATGGGGTGGTGAGTGAAAAAAAATTACGAAGAATGTTGGCAAGTGTTAATTATATTAAAGCAAGTGTCTCTAATGAGATTTTATTTTCTTAATAACCATATAGAGACTAATTTATAGACGGATTTTGTTCTGTCTTTAAAACAGTTTCTAAATCAATTGCTATGGCTAATTTTCTTTTCTAAGTAATTTTTTTTAGTGTTATTTAGGGTTTAGGGTTGGGCATGGAAGTGAGTAAACGTGCATGGTAGTGGAGGGAGGTAGACTCAAGGGCTTCAAAGTTATTGGATTGAACTTTCACAACTACAAGATATGGATGATGCCTTGATTATTAGAGTTGAAAATTAATTGTGTTGTGATTTATTTGTATTACTGAGATTAATTAATGTTCATAATATTATTTTCTCATATCAGACATTGACTTCTAAACTATAGAATAATAATGGCATGCCCTTTAAATAATTAGGTTGTCATCAAAAATAGATGGTTCATAGTTTTTATTGTTATATTCACAAAAACATTTCAAATGATGATAATTAAGGTTTCTAATTAGACACAAGCTTGAAGAAGTGAAAGAGTAAAGATTTGATATTTAAAACTTCAAGTTTTGGTTATAAAGAGGGAAGAGTGTAGATGGTGTACAAAGTTAAGAAACCATGATGGGAAAATCTCCACGTTACTAGTGCAAAAAGGGGCTTTTACGTCAGGTATTTAGGGCTTTTTACGTCGTATTTAAGTCCGACGTTAAAGCGGGAGACGTAAATTTACGTCGGCCCGACGTAGATTTACGTCAGTTATCCAGATCCGACGTAGATTTACGTCAGTTATCCAGATCCGACGTAGATTTACGTCAGTTATCCAGATCCGACGTAGATTTACACTAAACAGACGTAAAAACCTTTTCAATTTAAAAAAAAAAATAGAAAATTTACGTCGCATATGGTATACGCGACGTAAATTTACGTCGCATATACCATATGCGACGTAAATTTACGTCACATATACCAATATGCGACGTAAATTTATTGTTTTTTTTTTAAATTGGGTTTATTTATTCTGTTTTACAACTAAAACCTGCAAATATTACAACCAGACAGTCCAGATGTTTAGTTTTCTTTAGCTAGTAAATTAAAAATATAATATTATATAATTCAAACTACATAATAAAACAATATAATACAAACATACAAACTAAAAAATCTATTACAAACTAAGCTACCTATACAAACTAAGCTACCTATACAAACTAAGCTAAACTACATAATACACACAATATAATATGAACAAGAACTTAAAAAATAATGTACTAGAATTGTTGAACAAAAAATTTTGCCCATTGTTCTCTAATTTCGTAATCTCAGATTCCAGTAATGGAGATGGATCTTGAAATACCTGAAACATGAATTTGACTCTTGTAAGCATGCAACATGAATAAAGTTAAATAAACTTAACTAATGTTAAAAGTAATTACCTCCGTCCAAGAATCAATTAAACCCGCACAAACTATGGCTCTCATCCAATACATTACATAATAACCACATTCAAACGAGTCAGTTTGCTTATTACACTGAAATGATGAAAAAAACATAATATTATTTTCAAAATTGAAATACAAACAATAATTATGATATTCACTTATATAAATAAGTTTCTAACCTTAGGATAAATGAACTGCAAAGTCTTTGTTCTAGGTTTTCCACTTAGAACATTAGTTCCGAGACACGATTCTAAGTGAAAAAAAGTCATATATTATTCAATATGTATTCACAATTTAAAAACATAATTAATGAATAAAAGATAAAGTTACCCTTGTAATAAGCTTTTCATTTCTTGACTCGGTTTCCGATGTAATGAACAAAACCACACCACAGTGTAATCCCGGGCATGATTACAATTAACTGCCAATGAGACCTACATTGTATGACATAAAAATTAGTTACAAAAATATAAATTAAAATACAAATTAAAATACTAACCCTTCAATGTATGGAGCCAAATATACATGTCTTCTTGAGTCACTCATCCATGTTTGCATATATTGTTGGATTCCAACCTTTGTATTTCCAGATTTTTGGATGGGTTGAGGCTCAATAAATCAGTATACTTCGGATTTTTCTTGTTCCACACTCAAATTGTCAAGGTACCTAAAACAATTAATTATAAGTTGAATATAATTATTATAATCTTAGAAACATAAATGAAAATGACTTACATTGCCCACAATTGTATGATGGAAATGTTTAACATGCAATTTCCCAGACAATTTCTAAAGCATCGAGCAAGGAAATGTACAATGGAACACCGAAATTGTCAATTCCAAACACTCTAACATTCCATTGTATCTGACACGGTCTCTTCCTCAACCGTGGTAATACGGCTAACAACATAGAGATGGGATCATCATCACATTCATCGAGATCCTCATCAATAATAGGTTGTTTTTTATGCTTAGCACGACGCAAGTCCTCCTAAACAAATGATAACAATTAATTAAACATTTATATAATTATAATACTAGAAAAGAGTAAATAGACAATATGTATATATATATATATATATATATATATATATATATATATATATATATATATATATATATATATATATATATATATATTAATACCTTGGTCTGTCGATAGTGGCATAACCAAACGTCTTGGCCAAGCCAAGAATGTCCCGCTTGCCTGCCCCACTAATTGAATCTCTTCATTAGGAAAAGGCACTCGGAGCATTAGCATCATGAACTTCATCAACTACTACTCGTGTCTAGTCCAGTCTGTAGAGGGACACCATGGATGGTTAACCCACCCTCAAAAACTCGACCAACGACCACTAGACGCGGGGGTCATCTTCAACATATAACTCACACTTGGTGTGATGCATCGATCCGAGTATATTCTCCTGAAGGATCAACGGTAGTAGCGACACAACTCCCTTTAGTGCTGACTCGAACAATATCATGTTCAATTGTTTGAGGTGTTCCTTGAGTCTGTTCTTGAGAGCGGGCGAGAGATTCAATTTTCTCATCAAACTCTTGCTTG